TTTTTTTTTTTTAATGTAATTGTAAATGCATTGCTGTGACCAAAGCTGAATTTTCAGCATCATTACTCAAGCATTCAGTGTCACATGATCCTTCAGAAATCATTCTAATATGCTGATTCAGTGAGCATTTCTTACTTTTTGCTTCATCAAATGTTTGTGGAAACCTTGATACATTATTTTCAGAATTCTTTGATGGATAGAAAGTTGAAAAGAACAGTATTTATTTAAAAAAGAAATCTTATGTAATATTATAAATGTCTTTTGATCAATTTAAATAAAAGTATGAATTTTATAAAAAAGAATAATAAATAATTACTGACCCCAAACTTTTGAATGCTAGTATATGTGTTTATACATAGTGGAGCCAATATACAATACTGAAAATCTGCTATAGAAAATATATTTTAACACTGAAAATAACCTGAACATTTTAGAAATTAAACCATTTAAAACAGTGAAACATTTTGACAATAAATGAAGAAGGATTCTCCACTAGGTCACTAATAAAATCAGCAAATTTGTGTTATTGTTCACATTTTCAAGATTCCACTGCAGCACAAAAGATGTCCTTTCATGCAAGATAACATTATCATCAGGTTTCAAACAAACACGTAGAGTTGAGAAAATTCTAGAAATTCTCTGTGGCGAGGGGGGCGTGGTTCAGCGAAGTCTGCAGCGGGAGGGAGGGACGGGAGACGAGCGGCGAGTAAGAAGGTCAAGTGCAAAATGATGAACACCTGTGTCTGATTGCAGTAATTAGCCTGGAGAGACCGGATAAAAGGGCAGACTGGAGAACGTGGCGAGAGAGAGAGACTGGGACTCGTGGCCATCCCTTAGCCGGAGGAGGAGAGCCGACTGAACTGAGTTTATGCCCTGGGCAGAGTGAGAACGCGCTGGAAGCGCCCCGTTTGTGTTTTGTTGAACTTTAAGGAAATAAATAAAAGAGCCATGAGTCTCCAAACCGCCTACCTGAGTCACTTCCTTCTTCCCACTACGAACTTTGTTACATTCTCAAATTCATGTTATTTATTAATTTATTTATTTTTTAAATTCAGAGGTAACACTTTACAGTAAGGTCTTAAATGTTGTTAGTTGAGTCTTTAACTAACAATGAGCACTACATTTGTCACAGTATGTATTCATATTTGTTAACGTCAGTTAATAACAATACAAGATTGATCATGATCATGTTAGATCATATCAAACAATATTCACGATACAACTTTTGATTTTAATAGTGTATTAGTAAAATAAAAAATTAACATTAGCGAAGATTAATAAATGCTTTAGAAGTATTTATCATTGTTAGGTCATGTTACCTAATGCAGTTAACTAATGATAACAAATAGAACCTTATTGTAAAATGTTACCAATTCAACTTTTATATATATAAATGAGAAAAATGCAAGAGAGAAGCATTTTAACTATGACTTTGGGAACCAGTGTAAACCATGTACCAATATTTCCATAGAACTAGTCCAAAAAGTCACAGTATTGTTGCAGTATTTGTTAGTGCGTGTCGCATGCAAATGACAAGCTGAGCGATACACCTCAGAGCTCTTGTCTGGGAATATTTGCTTTTCCCTCTCCTGGCGGTGTCGGTCGGCCGACCCTCACCATCGGATCTGTTTCCAATTAGGAGCAACATTCCAGACAAGGTAAGATAATCTTTCTCGCTCTTGAAACTCAAGAGTCCTTCCATGCAAAGGCAGAGACATGGCTACCATGTGGCGCAGTCACCCTGTCTGCTTTTTCACAACACAATTAGCTGTGCTGAAAGGTATTTGCCATTACTCAAAGCACTAGGCTGAAGCCTACTTTTCCAATTCAAAACTGACAAAGAACCTACGCTTTGTTATATATGGATTCACTAAATGAAGAGCAGACGCAGTAGATTTGTTCCACATATCGTCTGTTTCAAAATGAATGCTGTATGCTAATTGTTTTGGAACTCGAGTAACTTTCTACATATTGAGCTGAATACCCTGAAGAGACATGAGATCTGATTGGTTGGTTTCTCAGAAAGAGAGTAGATTTTTTTTATTAATTGTACCTGAAGTTTCAAAGGTTGGAGGTTCAGGGGCATCAGAGAGGGTGGTCTTCTCCTCTCCAGCCAGTGGCATACTCTCTCCTCCATCAAACATACCAAACACACTCACTGTATACTTAGTGCCGGCCCTGAGATGAGAGAAATGCAAATCAGTCAACAATCTTATCCATCAACCTTAACAGGCTAATAGATCACAATGCATGGTTTTCACATGACATCACACCCAGACAGGGCCACCTGGAGGGTAAAACAAGACTTTCTCTGCTGTCCACTGTTTTTTTTTTTATACTAAATACTCATATATTAAGACTAAATTCAACATGCATTATTGGTGATCCATACTATATACAGGCAAGCAGCTGCATCTGGAATATGAACGCAACATACTAAATTGCATGCTAAACTTTTTCCCATAGAAAACATTTAGAAAGAAAATACTTTATGTAGCTTAATGCATTAAGACCAAATTCAGTATACACCTTATTAATTAAACGTAAAATGTGTAGGCAAGCAGATGAGCACAAAATATAAAAGCAACACACAAAGTTTCATGTTAAGGATTTTCCCACTGAAAACCATTATAAAGAAAATGCTTAATGTGCAATTTAGCGCATTGCATTCATATTCTGAGCTCAACTGCAATTTGATCTTTTAATATCACTGTATTACTTTTTTAATCATGAAACAAATTCACTGTAATTCAGCTATAAGCAGCTCTACAGACGACAGTAGTGTCATTATTCAGCTCAATTTAGTTAATTGTTGATAGTTTAATAACAGTGTGGATGTTGCAGATTTTCCAGTGTTCAATCTAAATATTTGTGGCTTTGAAACAGATGGAAAATTGATAGGTCTGTGCTGAAGTTCTATGGATGTTTTGCCCTACAGGGCATTCGTGACTGAAAACTACCATTAACATGTTTCAAGAAGGTATGTGTTGTCCACTTGATTTTACATTGACTTTGAAGGTGTTTATAGGGCATATCTTCAGTGTTCAACAAACGTCTGTTAAGTTTTTAATGTGTCTGCATTGGCGTCTCGTACCTTAGCTCCTCCAGAACCACTGTGTTGTCATAGGGGCCTACTAGCAACTCTCCCAGGTCCATATCCACCCCAGTGGGATGGAAGGTGACCTTGTAGCCCTTCACATCCCCAGGAGCATGATCCCAGGTCACCCTGAAACTGGTTTTAGTGGGCTCTGAAGTTTGCAGGTTTCTGGGAGCTTTATATTGAGACACTGCAGCGAAAATAAAGGGTGTCAAATTAGACAGCAAAGAGGATGAACATGTTCGCAGTAAAATAACAACTTTTGTCAAATATCTGCTATTAACTTACACGTGGTTCCTTCTCCTTGTCTTTGTCTTCCATCACCAAACTTGTAGACGGGAACCACTGTGATATCGTAAGTGGTTTGTGGCTGCAGTCGTCTCAGGACTAAAGTGTTAGTGCCCCCTGGTGCTTTGGAGGCCAACTGGCGTGTCTCACCCTGAGGTTTATACGATACCCTATAATTGACAACATTGCCGGGTGCTGGTTGCCATGTCACTCGCATGGTCCTATCTGTTTCTTCTGAAACCGTAAGAACTCTGGCAGCGGCGGACACTGTTGGGGAGATAAATGAAAGACAATGTCCATTAAACATTGGACTGATTCAACCACATTTCCTAGGGGTCAGGAAAAGCAAACCATCTGAATAATGAAAGTTTGTCTGCCAAGATAATCTTGATCCAACACAGACCACGGATCTCCAAACCAGGTGAAACCAGACATGCCGAAATGGTTGTACGTCATGCATAACGCAGACACTCTAAGACTGTCCGCAATGTTCTCTTTTTATGCCGTGACAGGAGTGTTTTTACGCAAGAGGGAAAGGAATGAATTGTCCGCCTTTAACAGGTCTACGGAACACTTTCAGATGGAGAGACCTTTTACAAATTAGGAGTTTTATGGATGGAAAATGACACTTCCAAGTTTTCAAAGAATCACTGATCCAATAGGACAACGTGTGCTTATGTTGGTATTGAAGGAGGTAAGAAATAGAGTGATGGCAGCAGACATAAAATGGTGCTGCCTAAGCCAGAAGCCTGTTTTCAGCTCAACTGCTGGACTTTTTAGATGACAGACAATAAATAAACCGCCAGACAGCAAGATAAACCAATTACATATTTACAGCACTCTTAACCAGTTCTAAACTGGAGTGAGTTGCCCCACTGAATAAGTAAGAGGGTGCAATAAGTGCTGTAGAGTGTGTTGAAATCCTGCATCCCTTGATAATAGCGAGCATGTGTAAATCATTAAATCCACCGCTACACACACCCCATACATTACACCATATGTTACAATAGCCCACAGCGAAGGTATTTTAGAGGAAACAGTGGCAATTACGCAAACCTTCTGCCTCCGCCTGGTGTTGAACTTATGAAAGGAAATGGAAGTTACTCTTTCACTTTTTCCACATCAGAATGAACATTGAGACATTTCTGTTTTAGAGCTTTTGTCTCCCGCATACTTCAGAGAGCATGTCATTATGTTGCAGAGTGTTCTTAAAACAGACATTAAACTCGAGAAATGATTTTGTTGAGTGTAATTTTAAATGTAAGTGGTGCTTACCCCAAAATGCTAAACTTGGTAGGGTGTTGAAAAAGTGGGTGCCAAGATGTCCAAATTGCATATTTCTATATGATTGCTTGGGTGTCCTAATTGCGCAGCATCATTTGCAAAATGTCAGCAAAATTTAACAGAATCACACTTTGTGTGAATAGTCTAGTAATAAATGAAGCACAGCTCACAGAGAAGTCACTTTCTAACCATGCAGCTTTCTGTTGCTCAAACTCATGGACCAACTTGAACATGAGTGAAATTTGCTTGAGTAAACTTTTCACCCTCACACACAGATTTCTCTTGATAATTACTAGATTTCGCCCAAGGAATTTCGATAAGCAATATTTGATTTGACTGCACCTTAAGTGGTTGCTTGTTGGCTTGGGTGTAAGTCTTTGGGTTTTGTCATCAATTAGGTAAAAAATCTGTTCATTCATTGCTAAGGCATCATTCAAGTCTGCAAAAAAATAAAAAGACTGAACTCATTACGTGGCTTATCAAGCAATCAAGCACCACGCATATTTTTTTTATTTGCTAGTAGCTGAATTGTGTTGATTGTAATTTTAAACTTTGCGCAGACTTCTTCAGATTGGTGGGGCAGATACTTCATTGAGGTTTATGTGCATGTCAGTGAAATATTCTGACATTATTTCAAGTTTTTTTCCTCTCTGAGGTAGGTTACCTCAGGACGAGAGGCCCGCCTCAGACACACAGAGCGAGGTAAAGAGCATTTGGTCATATGCTGGATTCATTACGCAGGTGGGAATTGACTTACCATCTGTGGTCTCCTCTCCATGCAGCGGCTCCCCCTCCTTACTGCTGTAGGCAGCGTAGACAGAAACCTTGTAGCGGGTCTCCGGTGTCAGTCCATCCAGAACAGTGGTGGTTATGTCCCCGGGGACGGTTTTCTCGCCAGCTTCCTCCGAAAAGAGGGATTTCCAGGTGACCCGATAAAGGCGGACGTTGCCAGGGGCGGCAGTCCAGGATGCTACAAAACTGTTCTCAGTGACATCCGAAGTAACCAGATTCGTAGGTGAACCGAGTTCTGAATGATTGAGAAAAAAGACACAAAAGTTTTAAAAACAGATCATAACAAGCGCAAAGTCTGGTGACAGAGAAGCAACAAACACTTCCCCTAAATCAGGCTACTTTGGTTAACTAGTCACCCAGCCTGGCCAAGCTGGTTAGGCAGTCATGTTTCAAAGGTTTTAGAGGGCTCTCTGACACTTACAGTATTCAGACTGAAAGACACACTTGTTAACACCAGTTTGGCCAGGCTTAAAGACCAATTAGACCAACAAAATACTGTAGGTGGGTTTAACCAGGCTATATTGGTTAACTTCTCTACCAGGATGGCCAAGCTTGTTAGGAGGACGTGTTTTGATGGTTTTAGATGGGTTTCTGACACCTAGTCAGGCTAGGGGACCAACTTTCCAATCACCTATACCAGTTAACACCAGTTTGGCCAGGCTTAAAGACTGAATTGACCAACTAAGACCAGCAAAATACTGTAGGTGGGTTTAACCAGGCTGTGTTGGTTAACCAGGCTGTCCAAGTTTGTTAGACAGGCATGTTTTGATGATTTTAAGGAGGTTTTTGACACCTAGTCACGCTGAGAGCCCTGCTGAAAAAAGCAGCATAAACCAGCATGAATTCAATGTTCGTCCAGGTTAGAGCTGGTATATTTCTGGTCTAGCTGGTGGACCAGCGTTCTGTTCTCAAGCAAAACTGAGATTGAGTAGCTGGTTCACCAGCGCTCCTGCTTCCCTTATTTGGGACTAGCAAACCAAAGATCAGCATCCCATGCTTTCTTTCACTGAAGAAAAAAGGGCAGTGGTCTCTTGCGGTGTTCCCCTAAAGTAAGAAAACTATATAGTTTAGAACAAAAAAATCTGAGAAATCTGAGTGAACTCTTCGGTTAAATGAGCATTTATCTAATTCTCCGCTAGTCTGTCTAAAATGCCGGTAGCTCACGATTGCTTTGATTTACTTTGTCAGTAACGCGTACCCTGGAAAACAGCTCTGCAAAAATAATCTCTCTCCCTGCTGCCACACATCTGTCATCACATCTACTTTCCATTGAACACGAAACCCGATCCATTAAACACAGACTGCTAAAACTGCAGATGTAGCTCGCGTTTTGATCTGTGCCATACCACCTACCTATCTTCTCTCTCTTTCTCTCAGTTCTATGCTGAGTGTCCCGAAGCAGAAGAGAGGAGAGGGACTTGAAATTATATGAAATTGTGCTGACAGCATAGTGAACTAGAATAAACTGCAGTGTAAAACTTCCACAGTAATACCTCTCCCTCTCACCACCCAGCCTCATGTTCTCCTGACTTTAGGATAGTCACCTGTCTCCAACACATTGAGCTCTGCTGGTCTAAAACAAGCCAAACGGGCGATTGTTTCAAAGTGCAATTACCAGGCTCTGCGTCATAGCTCAAACAGGGACTAGATAGTTCATAGACCTGGGAGGTTAGGGACTGCAAATGACAGGATAACTGCTGAGGAAAATTATATCCCAGTTTCTTTCCGAAGAGTGCTCCAAAGTCTAATTCTTCTTAAACGTCCGTACAGGGTTTTTTTACGTTGGAATATTTTAGACAGTTCAAAAAAGGGTAAAAAAAGGGACAATAAGAAAAGAAGCTAGATTTTCTAATGTTCCCATTAATATGTGAGAGGTGTTTGCCTGTGCAAAAGTTGTCGACACATGAGGTTGCATGAGGTGTTGAATGGTTCTGTCATTTTATTACCCAGCAGGTGAAAAACCTGATTACTTAGTAAAGCAGCAACACACAGATTTGTATTCATAACACCAAGTTATAGACTGAAGTTTAATAGTTAATAGCTGAAGGACTTGTTCAGATCACTAAGCCAACAATGATGCATGCCTTAGCGAACACCAATAGCTAATTCAAGATGAATCAGACAGAGAATTTAGGACTCTGTGCCAGGTTGACTGGATCTGAAGTTGTTTCTACGTCCAGCATAGAGGTCTGATTTTACTGACAGAGCACAGAAGAGAGCAGATCGTATGTTAATGTCTTCTGCAAGCTGCTTTTGGTTGTTAAAATGCAGACAAACTGCCAATGCCAGGCACTGCAGTGCACCTCTACTCAGAAAACACATGCTATTAATGGTTATTCATTTGTGGTTTTGCAATGACAAAAAAAAATTTAGCCACTAAACAGAGACGCAACAGTGCAATACCGTGCATGAGTTTATTAATGCTGTCCTGATATTGTTATGTGTTGAGGCCAGATTAAAACCAGACTTCTTTTGGACCTTCACATATGCTATTTTTCCTTCTTTGATCCTTGTTTTAGCGTTCCATCCAAGCAAAATGTTGATGTTAACTGGGAACAGGAGTTTTAGCACTAAACGTGACTGTCCTCCTGAATTATTTCACTTTGGAAAAGTTCGGAGTACCTGGAAGCAAGACAAATTCTCCAATGCTATGTCCTTCAGCTCAACACATTCTCTTGACAGAAGGTCTGACCACCTCATGCATATGAAGTTATTTTTTGGGGCTTTTGCTTTTATTTCGATAGGACAACAACAGGGTAGACGGAAAGCAGTGGAGAACAGGGTCAGGAAAAGAGCCATGACTTGAACTTGCCTGCTTGCTTGCAAGGTACTCTGACTGACCATCTCATTACAGACATATTCATCCTCATTCAAACCATGGAAGTCAGAACTGGACGCATACTGTACTATACTATAATACTGTATATAAGCATTTTACATGTTGCTTACATGACTACATTTTCTTTGTGCAGTTGCAGTACATAACAGCAGGGGCTAAATTGAACAGCCAAAGCTTGAGCCTCTGGTCATAGGTGCCAACTTTAGCTAAACAAACATAGAACTACATAATGAGCAATTTAGCACCATTTTCCATTGATTTCCTCTTTGTAGCTGTTTCATATAGAGTTTATCCAATTTCAGGCCCTGGATCTAATTTCTGGATCTTCTCACCCGTGTCCACATTCAGAAGAAGCAAACTCTGCCACTGACTGAGTGGAATAAAAAAACATCTGAGAAATCAATCTTGAAGAAGTAATGAACCAGTCGGGTGGTCACAAACTGAGAACACATTGGTAACGAACATCTTGAACGTCCTTTTGAACAACTGCCATACAAAGCTGACGTAAACATCTCAAACAATCTTGCATGACTTACACTTGGATTTCAAACAGCACACTGATTAAGATTTGCAAAATTTGCCTGGGATCTAACTGGACAGCGCTTGATGAGAAAATGAGGTCTGTCCTCTCTCTTCTCGCAGAATTCAGCTTATATTCAGTAAAACAGGGCAGAAGTCTTGGATAAGAGACATAATCTGGTGCTGGCTAAGATCTCACAGCCCAAGCCCATTTTCCGCAAAAACTATCATGAGACAAAACTCATGCTGACTGCAACCACATTCACCAGATGTTAAAACACAAAGACGTTCTGAGACCTTGGGACAAAACTGGCGGATTTAGAAAAACAAGTTTACATTTTCGAATTAAGAAGACATGCAAGTCAACATTTGTAATGGCATTTTGAACAATTCAGTTTAATAGGCTGAAGAGGAGATGCAGTGTGAGCTGGTCGGTCCCTAAAGCCCTTGTTTAAGGTCACTTCCTAATTGCCTTGACTGAGTTTGGCCCCACAGTGCACTTTTCTGGGGGCTAAAACAAAGAAAGCTGTGTTATGCTCCAGGATATGGAGTTTAACACAGCTCAGTTTGGAAACGCCTTGTCATCGGCCAAAAATTAGTCACATGTTTCCTTTGACTCTTTGTTGAAAGGTGGCTTGAGTCAGCATACATAATGACAAGCCTCTGAAATATGGGCTTTTGTATAATGAGTGGAGGACAGCCATTAGAGGTCCCGGTTAGATGCTGTAATCGGTAATTTTAATATGACACTGCTTGAAATACATCCGAAGAAAGACATGCAGTAAGTTTTGGGCATTTATTTTCAGGCTAAAAATCTTGGATGAAATTGTTTGGCAGTGGCTAATATTCAACAAGCCCACAAGTTAATGGTAGTTCTGACATGCTTTTTATCAAGAGAATATTGAGAGAGACATGTACTTCACAAAAAAGGAAGCATTTTATGTTAAAGAAATTGGCTCTTAGTGGTTTGAGACCACTTATATAAGCCAGACAGTAACAGGACACAAATAACTAGCAATCACTAAAAATCCAGCACAGTATCAAAAGAGTATGTAATCTATATATCGACATGATGTGGTTTTTTAAATTAGTAACTTTAGAAAAGTAGAACAGAACTATACACTGTATGATTTAAGTTTAAACCCCCAAATTCTGATTTCTAGACCACGGTTAGACACTAGAAAAGATGAATCCAAACCAATATCTTTTGAGGTTATGTTTCCATTCACTCTTCTTGCAATGCCAAGCATGAGTGAGGAACATTTTACAAGCTCAGCTAATTCATCTGCTGTCCACACACCAAATAAACCCAGAGCGTGTGGGAATCCACACAGTGAGATCAGTCATTAGATGGCACATCTAAAAGGTCATCCATTTGGTTCCCAAATTTAGAGTTCACTTCACACTGACAGACAACACCGAAAGTCTTTTAGGTACGTCTGTCCTCTGTTAAGAGTGTGATATAGAAGTGTGTGAAGAAACAATTAGGATAGCAGTTAGTAGTACAGTTTCCCTTCAACACTTTGCCATAAAGTTCTATATCATCCAATATTTGGGAATGATCATATTTGGAGATTGTCAGAATTTGACAGCATTTTCTGACAGCCCTTGTCAGTTGAAAATGCACTTTTTAAACAATTTTGAGTGACTTTTGATAAAATTTCGTGTCAGCTTTTATTTCACTCTAAAAAAAAGCTGGGTAAAATATGGACAAACGCACCGATTGGGTTGTTTTCAACCAACAGTTGGGTTAATTGTTTAACCCAACCTTCTGGGCAGTAACCCAACCGGTGGGTCAAAACAACCCAATCGCTGGGTTTGTCCATATTTTACCCAGCGCTGGGTTGTATTTAACCCAGCATTTTTTAGAGTGTTGATTTAAATTTTCAATTTCTCATTTTCTTTTATTAAATTGTATTATATCATATAGATCGGCAACCATGCCTTTAGGTTATCTGCATCTATTATTGAAAAAGCAGTGTAGGTCAACCACTGGTGCAGACTGCCATCTGGGTGTCTTAAACCACCCATCACCCATCAGTTTGTATTTTCATATTATACAGTGTACTGCAGACAAATTAATTGCTTTGTAGAAAGCACAAACTTCAAATGTAATACAGAATTCTCTTGCCTTCCAGAGTGGTGCCTGTTCCCATAAGTGGCGCTCCGAGGCCAGAGGTGTAACGGGCACTAACGAAGAGCTCATACTCGGTGTCCGGCGACAAATTTTTCAGCAAAGCAGTTGTTGTGTCTCCTTTAACAAACATTTCTTTCCTTTCCCCACCATCAGGTTTGTAGGCCACATGATATTGAAGCACGTTGCCTGGAGCTGCCTGCCATGAGACCTTCATGCTGGACACGGTCTCGTTAAAGACCCGCAGGTCACGTGGAGAGCCCCAGACTGAGAGAGAATAATAAATATGGTATTCATTTACTTGTTTTTGAATTTCAAGGGAACAGAATCAGAAGGGAAAACAACAAAACTTCCGACAGTGCTGACCTTCTTTGGTGGTGCCCTCGGTGTCCATGGAGGGACCCATTCCACTTGCATACTCGGGGTACACTGTGACACGGTAAGTGGTGACGGGCAGCAGTTCGTGGAGCACAGTGGTGACCTGACTCCCATCAGTCTCTGCTTCCAGTTTATCTCCTCCACCCACTGGCTCATACAACAGTCTGTACCTCAGCACTGCTCCAGGAGCGGCTTTCCACGACACGCGGAAGCTGTCTACAGTTTCTTCACTCACCATGAGGTTACGGACAGAGCCTAATTCTGAAATGCGAGAGCAGTGCGTTATCAGCCACATGCAAAAAAGCTGTACTTGTCAGTGATAAATGACTTTGACTATGATTAAATACCTTCTAAAGTCGTCTCCTCGCCTGTCAAAGGAAAACTGTCTCCTTTATCATACTGGGCAATGACATTAACCTCGTAAGTGGTCAGGGATGTGAGATTGGGCAAAATCGTAGTGGTGGTGTCAGGAGGAACCACCAAAGAGATGTAGTCTCCAGTTATGTCAGCCGCTGGCCTGAAACGCACCAGAAAAGACAGGACATCCTCTCCATCAGAAGTCCATGAGGTCCTGAAGCTTCTGGAGGAGACCTCAGAGAAGCTTAGCGACTTTGGTGGAACCAAACCTGTATGACAGAACACATCACTATAATCACATTTATGATGTAAATGTTCTTGAAAGTTTACCATCTGGCTTTCTATGCTTTACGTTTGGTCTTGCTTGCAGATTTGCTCCAAGAGAACCTTAAGCAATACATTCTAAATACACATGAGTTAACACAATTATAAAATTGAAATACGTGGTGTATAACAACAATTTAGTATTGATTATGATGATGTTGAAATTGTTCATTATGTTTACTCTATATAATCTGTCCTCAACAGATGTTTCCAGAGCTTGTTTGTGTTATGATCTTTGGTTGATCCTGGAACAACATTCCCATCAAATAAAACATAGTCTGAACCCTATCCTTAACTAACTACCCATAGTAAACTTATCAGAGGGAATAGATAGGCTGATAAGATTGTTGTTTAAGTTCCTAACCCCGGCCCTAACCTTAACACTTTCTTCATTCCTAAAATGCTATTGGTTGATAAGAATGTTATTCGAGATCCATCAAGGCTGTTGATCCAGGAACATGTCCTACTTGGAAAGCATGGTAAGCTATCCATAAATGTCACTCACATAAACATGAACAGAAACGACAGAAAAACCAATAAACGGATATAATCGAAGGTGGCACATACTTCTTTTCTTGATGTTATGGAGCTCCTGCTCAATTCTTAGGCAGATGGATGTGGTTAGTTCCTTGGAGATCCGCTGAAAAGAATCAAAGTCTTCCACCTCAAACACATGGTTATCAGCAGGTGCGTTGGCAATCGCCTCCAGCTCGGAGCGCACGGCGTCCTTGACTCCCACAGCGAAAATCTCCACGTCTGCATCCCTTAGTTTGTTGGCAGGGTTTTTGAAAGAATCTGAGGACTTGCCGTCTGTGATGAGCACCATGACTCGGGGCACGTTATCACGAGCGCCACGGGCTGGAATGAAGATCTTTTCCCTTACGTAGGTCATGGCCTTGCCAGTGTTGGTGGAGCCTCCACGGTAGGGGAAGGTGCGGACTGCATTGAGCACAGCTGCATTGTCATCGTGCTTGTTCAGGGCAAACTCAGTGTGAGGATCCCGACTGTACTGAACCAAGCTGATCTGCACTTTGTCGAGTCCGATGTCAAAAGATTTGACGAGCTCTTCAAGGAAGGCTCTAACTTTAGCAAAGTTAGCCAGTCCTATACTGTACGAGCCATCGACCAGGAGGACAATATCAGCTTGGACCTCGACCTCTAGGGAGCACTCTATAGGGAACAAAACACAAGACAACCTGTCTGTTTGGAAATTTTAAATGTGATTATTTATTTATTTTTTAATGCATTTTGAGGGTTAACAGTTCTTAAAAAGTACCAGTACATAGATAAACTATGGATGGGTTGGATCTATGAGATTTAAGGCTGGAACACACAACACAACTTTTGCCATGATTTTTGCAATGGTTTACAGTCTGCGGGACTCAACATTAGTCATGTAGTATATTCCAACCTTTAATAGGACGGTTAAAGATTCGGGCTGGCAACTCAAAAGTTGTTGATTCAGTCCCCACAAGAAGGTGATCCATGAGCAGTTGCATCTTTGATCAACACAATTCAAGGAATATTTTGTAGTGCTCAGATCTCTTGATTGAATACTTGGGACCTGTTTACACCGGATATTAAGATGTGTTTTGGTCGTTCCAATCACAAGTGGACAACGCTAAATACAGGTGTGAACAGGATGCAAAACGCTTTAAGCTTGTCCACTTTTGACCACTTCCAGAGGTAGTAGAAAACACATTCGATGGGATTGCTCTTGTAGTGGACGCTCATGTGGTCGAATACATTCAAATAGCCATAAAAGACCATCTCCTCTCTGCCTACTGACCTAATTCTACAACACTGCAGGACGTGTTAGCCAGACAGGATTTAAACTTTGCCATCTGAAATCATAAGTTTGGTTTTAAGGCAACAAAAAATGTTAATGCTGTCTTACCAGTAGTGATTTTAAAGATGCTGCTCTCCGTATCGTTTTCTGTTGTCTCCTTTTGTGTTCTTATGTAAATTGCGCAAGTTTATTTCACAATATTAGATCGAAAGATCAGAAAAATACCATATATACTCTCGCCCATAATCCTCCCCTCAAAATCAGGACAGGAATGGTCGAAAGTGGAAAAAAGTGTTGGATTAAAACACCAGGTGTAAATGGGAATGTGTCTCCCTTATCTACTTGTGATCCGATTGACCGAAACGCATCTTAATACCAGGTGTAAACAGGGCCTTGGACGCATGATCACAATGAGTTGTTAGCATCTTACCTGTAGACACCTTCACAGGCTGGGTTTTCTCGTTGACAACTTGTGGCTTACTAGGGGTCAGACCTTTGAGGGCAAACAGACTGATCTCATACTCTGTCTCAGGAGACAGGTCTCTGACGTTGGCCACGGTGAATGTGGGCCCTATGTAGAGCTCCTGCTTCTTAGCGGCAGCAATCATGGGGAAGACCTGCAGCTTATAGCCTGTGATGTCACCAGGAGACGAATCCCACGTAATTCTCATAGATTTGGAGGAGATGTCAGTTACTCTGAGGTCCGAAGCTGGTTCAACATCTGGGGTAAAAAAAGGATATAAAAGATATTTATGATTTATAGATCTTCCATTAACTGGTCAATTCTCTGTGAGTTTAGTGGGATTATGTGTGCATGGGCAGTACCTTCCTGTCCGCTTGCAAGGAAATTTAGCTGCTCCTCCACACCAGAGCACACCTGAGTGATGAGCTCCTTCTGCACCTGACTTATCATGTCAAAGTTTGGGACATTATAGATATGCTTGCTGTGGGGAGTGGAGGCCATCTCCTTCAACTCATCCTCATCTGCTCCTTTGATACCTGAAGACATAAACTGCAGCTTGAAATAGTGTTCCATACAGTTTTGGATTACGAATATCAGAAACATGTTCAACAGATGTATAGACACAAACCCAGGACAAAGATCTCTACTCCAGTGTTTCTCAGCCGTTCGGCATATTCCCCAACTGGGTCTTGTGATTTTCCATCAGTGATGATCATGGCTACTTTTGGAAAGCCTTTCCTGGCTCCAGCCGCCACAGTGAAGGTGTTTTTCACCAGATAGTCCATTGCATCACCTGGTTGAGCATGTAAGAAACCAAGATACAAATTAATTCATGTTGAGGGAAGAAGTGATTATTTTGGAAGTGTTGGTGTTATTCAGTTGTTTAGGACTCTTTTTATGTTTAATCAGGTAATTAACTATTTTTGAGCAGTTTTGTCAAGTAGGATGTGTTCCTATATCATCTACATGATACTGCATGATAGATTGATAAGAATGTTGTTCACACTCCAAGCCAAACCCAATCCATAGAACTTTCACAATCCCCAAACTCTGAATGGATGATTAATGCTGAGTAGGGTTCTTCCAGGACCAACAAGGATGTCGATACAGAAACAAGTCCACATTGGCTAAATTACGGTATGGTAATCTAAAATCTTTTACACACCTGTCATGGTATTACCACCCTTGTAGGGCAGATTTTTAATGGCTCGTAGGACATCAGGCCGCCTGTAATATTGGTTCAGGTTGAACTCTGTCCTGGTATCTGAGCTGTACTGTACAATAGCCACTCTGGTCTTATCCTCTCCTATGTCAAAGGCTCCTGCCATGGCCCCAATGAAACTCCGGATGAATTTAAAGTTTTCTCTTCCCACGCTCCAAGAGCCATCCACCAGGAAAACCAGATCCGTGACAGCACTCACTGAACACTCTGCATGAAGAGGAAATGAAGAGGCATGAGAAAAAGCCATATAATAGTATGACAGCACACGATCTACTACAGTCTTTGTCATTTTACTTATTTGTTTTGACACATTAATGGACAAAAAAAATTGCCGTTGTTGAAAAAAAAGCAGTCTATTTACACATTTGTTTATTTTGCAACTACACTAAAAAAAACAGTCAAGTCCTCTCTCTGTTTCCTTCAACCTTTCCCAACAAAAGTGATGCTTCCAAAGCAATGGAAACTTTCAATAAACTTATTTCTGTTTCTTTAGACATGAATCCAAAACTTTACTGTGAAATGTATATCTTGAGAACTGGTTTTCTGAAATTTCAGTTGGATTTGTTTTGGCAGCGGTACTCACAATTTGGACTCACAAGAAGTGGAATTGTATCAGGACCGTAATCTTTTCCACTAGTTTAACCCTCAAATGGTCCTCGTTTAATGTTTACACTTATGGTCTTTGGGGTCAATATGACCCCAAAATTGAAAGAGTAATGGTAAAAAAATATATACATTTTTAATCATACAAATAATATATCATTTTTTTAGTTTACTTCCTCAGATGTTACAATGTACCCCACCTACGGGGCATGTTGTCACATTTCACTTCCATTTTTTGAGGGTAAATAAAGAAAAACGTATACACTGTAAGCATGAAACAAAGCGACATATTTGTACTAGACACGTGTAAAATTACTGTGGATAAAAAAATATATATTCTGAACCCCATGTGGATTTACACAAACTGAGAAAGTCAAAAAGTGTTACTTTGTGCCCCGCTCTCCCCTATATATATTTAATATATTTGAATATTTATATATATTAACCCTTATAAGGTCCTCGTTTCTTGTTTACACTTAGGGTCTTTGGGGTCAATATGACCAATTGTAAAAAAAAATATATACATTTTTAATCATACAAATAATATATCATTTTTTTTGTTTACTTCTCATCTATACATTAATGCTGTGTTTTGGGAGATATGAAGTACTTTTGTTCCTATTTACCACAGAATTCCGCAACTACACCATTAGCTTGCATGTGAAATATTAATTTTTTTATGAAAAAATCACTTAAATGATGATCTAAATTTAATTTAAGTTGTTTCTGGATATTGATCTAGGTGTTAGGTGTAGAATTCTGCCAATCTGTTGGTTAGAGATAAACCTAAAATGATTACAGCTTAAAATGTGATGTCTGAGTGTGTGAGAGTCAATGAATGAGGCTAGAAAAGGCCTCTGAGCCCCTCTCTGTATTATACCAGCCACTTCTAACAGTACAAAGTAAAATGTTTTATGAGCTCTGATTCTATTTTAATGCTTTTAATTAAAGGCAATTTTTACATTGCCAACCACAACCTTGAGCAATCTTTCTTTTTGCAAGCAATAACAAGTCTACAGTGGTCAGACAAAGAAAGTTTAAAGGAAAAATGTGATCTAATACATTGCATATAAAATTCCATTTCACAGGGGGACAAGAAGTAAGAAAAATCTAAAATCTGGAATGAAGAAGATACGGTTTGATTGAATATACTCACTGATAGTCTCTGATGGTGTCTTCCTTGTTCCACTTGTGTTGCTGGACTGAACTGTAAAAGGAGAAGAAATTAGGTCTATGTCTTGGAAGCTCACAGTTCCTTTCGGCAAATGGATTTATCAAAACTGATAATCAACAACACCTCATTTATTGTAATTTTGCTCAGAAGATCTCAAACTAAACTGGATTTTTTACATTTTCTGAAGAAAATATAAATGGTGCTTCAAAACTTCAAAACAATCACAATTCTAGTTTCTTGTGAGTGGTTGAAAGGGCATTGCTATGCAATTGCTACAGTATTCTGAATGGTTTTTAGTGCATCGCTATGTGATTCCTAGGGTGTTATGGAAGGTTCCATTATGGCTTAAGTCACAGGAGTCCAATCCTAACTCTCTATTATATTCTGGTTTCTAGACATGACTCAGGTCCCTCTTTCAATGAGAGGTTGAGATGCTGTTTGCCTGTTGCAATATCAAAACACTCCTCGACAAGAGTCAATGACATAATGCTTATTTTTTGTCTGGATCTTTAATTTATTCAAAATACATTTAAAATGCATTTTATGCATTCAATGACATCTCTTGTATTATGAGCATGTTTATAATTTATGTTCATTGTAAGAAAAAAACTCTTTATATGTATTTAATCTGTATAAGCATACTCTAAACATGTATTCATAGAAAAAAAAAGTACTTTAACAAAATTGCTTAAATGCTTATTAAGTCATGTGGTGAAAAAAATATATAATTAATAAACTATTGTTAAAAATACTTTTTACATTAAATAATATAATAATTATAATAAAGATGTGCACTCTCACATGCATTTAAGATGATCTTTTTAAGACATTAAATTGAAACATTTCTTGCAAGTGGCATTCAAAAGCAAAACTACATTTCTAAAATTCCTCATCTTTATCCCATAAGCCGCATCGCTTGAAATATCACTCATGTTCAAGTTTCATTCCAAAACGTAATACATGAACAAATCCCACCATGCATACGTACATAGTTGCTTGTTTTAAAATACAAAACAAATAAGAAAAAGACATTGAGGTGTCTGGTGTGCACTTACTTGTTATTTGTCCAAGTATAGGGATACTTTCTTCCGCACCATTATATGAACTGATTGACACCGAATAGTCTACATCAGGAGTTAAATCCGTGATTGATGTGTTTGTGGCCGAGGCAGAAAGACTGAAATCTTTCAAATCATCTGGAACATGTAATGACATATCGAGTCAGAAGATAAGTCCCTCAAAGCTGATCAAAAAACATGCAGCTGTTGACATCACGCACCTGCATCTGATATGACTTGTATTCTGTAGCCCTGTATCTGAGACGAAGGCCTCCTCCATGACATATGCACTGTGTTTTCATTTAAGATTTTAAAATTCAAGTCTGAAGGAGGCTCCACTGCAAACAAGAGGTTAATAGAGTCAAGATCATGAGAAACATCAATATCTCAATTAATAATAAATTGTGAAGAAACATTAGATGGTTTTTAACTATCCCAACGACAAACACTTCAGGACTGAAGTTTAGTTGTTTATTGTTGGGCAAGACAAACAGAACCAAAAGTAACGGTGACAAAACACAACATAAGAGAGTGACGGAAGCCATTTCGGTTCAAATGGCCTTTTCTTGAGTTGCATAACCTGGAATCTCATGGTCTGCAGCTCAAGCAGAGAAGAGCTAAACACATTTCAAGACCTATCACAAACAAAATGTCATCGCCAATCCATGTGCAGACAACCATCCAATACATGCTGAATGCGTTCAATACAAGGCATGCCCGTTCACTGGAACTCTGGTGACAAAAATAAATCATATCAAGACAATGTTTCCATTCCCAAGATATTGATTATACAATGGAATCAAGTTTTCAAGATGTCAATGATGTCCAGATGGCTCTGTCAGGAGTAAAAAATACATATATGTTATATATACGCTTTGTATATATACATATATTCCAGCAAGGCTTGGGTACTGACAAGTTTTACTGAAGGCACGTATCCATTGCAAATCTCAAAAAAAGAATACACAACTTGTCGTGACAGACTTTTGTGTAGTTCCTTTTCAAACAGAAGGTGTACGTGACAAGACAACACTCTTGAGTTGATTGAGTAATTGAGAGGTGTGAAGGAAAATGTACAACACAAAAAAAATCAATCAATCAAAAATCACGCAGATATATTGAGGAAATCAATCCGCATTCGTCTGGTTGTCAAAGTGTCATGCACATGTACATGGGTGAACAACTTATTACACTGTTTCCATGTACAACACAAAGGACAACACAACAAATGTATTTCAAAATGATATTCTGTCATAGACATTATTGACATGCAATCTACATCAAAACGTCGTGGATCTCATGTCAGCAGGCGGCGATCTAAGGCTATGAGATGTCCACTTACGCACTCAACATCCATGTTACATCTGCATGCATGAATGCTGATGACTGATGTAAATCTCTGCTGTCAGAATAATGTCTTAAATGCAAAGAATGCATAGGAAAAACAGGCAATGTCATCCAAAATGCAAACAATAGATGATATTAAAACATTGTAAAAAATTTATAAAAAATTGTCCTCATTTGTAAGTCACTTTGGATAAAAGCATCTGCTAAATGACTAAATGTAAATGTAAATGTAATGTAACTATAAATGTAAATATTAGACATGCTTAATATTACAGAAATTAATTAGCATATTTAACCAGCAGCGTGCAGCATGCAATATCACACTCTTAAATATAAGGGTTCCTAAATGGCCATAGAAGAACCATATTTGGTTCCCCAAAGAACCTTGCAATGAACAGTTCTTAAAAGAACCAATTTTTTGTACTTTGAATAACATTTCATTTAAAGAGCCCTTTTTCCACAATAAAGAACCTTTTGTGCAATTGAAAAGTTCCAAGGATGTTAAAGGTTCTTCATGGAATCATCAATGCCAATAAAAACCTTTATTTTTAAACGTGTACAATAGTGTTTAGCACACTTAAAAGTAAAGGTCACTTGAAACTTTGTCGTTCTTTGGAGATTTAGAAAGTTCTTGATGTTACAGTACATTATAGGTTCTAAGGTTTTAAGCATCAGAATATGATTTTTTTAGCAAGAAACAGAAAATTTGGGTCTATTCGGAACCTTTATTTTTAAGAATGTATTGAAGAGTTTTTTTAACTAGAACATTTATCACTACTCTTCATCAACAAGGCGATGAAGATCCACAGTGTCTGCTTTATAATCGTCTATAAGAGCAGATTTTCCCGGTAGAAATCTTGATCATCTTTTTCCATGCATTACTGTTCTTAATTCTACTTGACAGGCCAGCTGAATAATGAGGACGTGGCAAAATGTCACATGCGCAAAGAAAAAGGAAAGTTTCGGGTGGAAAGAAGTGTGCGTGGATGGAGGCCAGAGCAGCAGAATATCATTTAAAAATAAACGGTGGAGGAAACACACCAGGAAAACGACAGACAACACGACCTGCTGGAGAAAGAATGCTCACCAACCTGACGCGCCAAACTCAAACGGTCTGGGCCGATTCCCTTCATGTGTCCGAACAGGCCGAACCCATGAGTCTTCACCGATTCACAGATGAGGCATCTTGTGTCACGGCCCCAGCGCGCATAAACGATGTCTGAAACGCTACCTTACCATTGAGCTTTAATACCGGCTCAGCCAACTGTTATAATAATGGGACGTGACAGCTTTGTTGACTCTGTTGACAGTTTCATAACGAAAGTGACACAAACGTCGGCTCATGTTGAGTTTCTGGAAACTTCAGGATGAGGAGGCCCGTCAGGAGAGCACTTCTCTCATCCCCCGGAGAGAGAGTCTGCCCCATGTCAATAACCTCCAGCCAGTCAGGCATTCTTTCTGGCTAGCGCCGTTGGAGTCTCCCGGAGAAGCCGAACAGATGCCAAAGTAATTCCACAACATGTGCTGACATTAAACATTACTGCATATTAACTTTCCATATGGATTGAAACTCAGCGTTTTCGTGAGCGGCTGCAGGAAACCTAAAAAGGCTCTTTGTCTTTGTGCTGTCTGAGGACTAATTCAGCCCTCTCATGTTACATCTTTCCATTCTGTTACAGCACGCGCACAAAAAACAAACAAAAAAATGTTTCCGTTTGGTTTTCCAGTTGAATCAAGCTCCATCCTCGCGTTCTCACATCATCACATCCCTTTCGCTCGAGACAGCTGTCGGAGGGCTAAACTGACGCTGTGTGGTGACTTTAATTACAGATCCGTCTTAAACTAAGACAACTTCAAATCATGCGGTAGAAAACACTTATCCATTTTACTTCTGGAACCCATTTAGTTAAGCATAAAGTACATTTATTAAAAGTATTTTTATATTTTAAGGACATTTTATGTGTGTATCCAGCTCAGGGTTGCCGAGGTTGTTTTGATAATACATCTTGACTGAGATCAGAAAATATCAGAGATGTAATTTCATGTATGAAGGATTGTATAAAAGAATTAAGGACAATATGCATTTAAAGGGTTAGTTCACCCAAAAATGAAAATTCTGCCATTAATTACTCACCCTCATGTCGTTCGAAACCAGTAAGACCTTCGTTCATCTTCGGAACACAATTTAAGATGTTTTTGATGAAATCTGAGGGCTCTCTGACCCTCCCATAGACAGCAAGGTAACTACCACGTTCAAGGTCCAGAAAAGTACCAAGATGATCAACAAAGTAGTCCGTGTGACATCAGTGGTTCAACTGTAAAGTTACGAAGCTACGAGAATACATTTTTACGCAAATAAAACAAAAATAACGACTTTATTCCACATTTTCGAAAGTTACGCGAGTTCACGACAGTATCATCAATAAAGTCGTTACTTTTGTTTTCTTTGCGCAAAAAAGTATTCTCGTAGCTTCGTAACTTTACAGTTGAACCACTGATGTCACACGGACTACTTTGTTGATCATCTTAGTATACAACACGAGAGTGAGTAATTAATGGCAGAATTTTCATTTTTGGGTGAACTAACCCTTTAAGGCTTTTAATGGGAATCCAGCAGCTGTCAACTGTGATTGGATGCGGGGAAAATTAGGCTAGATTTCATTCCCTCTGGGTGGGTTTTGAGTCTGTTCTGAGCTGAAAAAAAATTCTGCGATCTGGCAACCCTGATCTAGCGACACGAAAAAGTTTCAAACTGAGTGATTTTGTTGCATGTCTTTTGACTCTTGATAACTGCACTATTGAGTTTAACTTGAGAGACTTAAATCCCTGCAAGAACACTTATGAGCAGTTAAAAATCCTGTAGTATCCTTCAGTTTAACCTTTTTTTGATGTCTTTGTAACAAAGTTTTTATTTCTGCTCCTGTAATTAACCAGCACTAATGGTAATTCATTGGGCAATAACTGACTCATAGAGGAGGTGATGACCATCCCAGACAGCTTTGTTTCGTATCTGCAGAACTGCTGAGGCATGCCTCCCAACAAATGGCAGATTACGAGACTATTTTTCATGCTAAACATTTGAAGTATAAATAGATTTTTTTTTTTTTGTAATTCTGTGTGCAGAAGCACACGCCTCTTTGTAGACTGGAATCACAGACAACATGAAGAGTAACATTTTTAAACAAATAGAGCACATCATTTTCATTTAATAGCGTATTAGAACTATTTCAAGCTTTCTATATAAATATAAACTATAGAAGTCAATAATATTGGCCTAAGTTGATTTAGCCTTTAAGAAGTACAGTTTAATATAAGATATTCAAAAAGTAAAAAATGTATGCTTGGTGTCCAATTAATGAACAACATATTTAATAATAAAAAAAATAAAATACAAAATAGAAGAGAGACTGGCAGAATGGACTATACCTTGAGCCTCTACTGAATTCAGTAATATAGCAAAGAGTGCAGCGGCAGCCAAAGACAGCCTGATCTTCATGTTTACACAGACACAGTCAGCAGCTCATTAATTAATCTACAAAGATAGGGAAAAAAAAAAGCATTATTTCTGCAGTAATTGTATTTGGCTACATTATTTGAATTATTATTATGCCAATGCATTCATGGTGTGCTTGGCATTTTTTTTTTATTTTGGACTAAATAAGCATAAATCTTTTTTAACAACTGAACATGTAAATGGCGCTTAGATACAGAATTAATATCTAGAATTACTTCTCAATGAGACACGGTGATCCACATAACGGCTCACGAGCGCCTCCACGTGGAGTTTGATGCAAGTGCAGTGAGATTGCTAACCATTCATCTATAGACCAGCCTAAATCAATAATCATTTCAATATGATTTCTGCTAAACATAAACAAAACCTTTGTGTTTATCAAAACTATAAAAAGAAAAGACGTGGCAGAGCTCAAGAAACATGCATTAATGAATTACACAATTGTGATTAAATCCTCTAAACGTCTCGTAGGCTACAAATTTCAGACATTAAAACTTCCCGAGTAATAGCTATTTATTTAACTTTAATGTAATTCCCTGAACAACGTTCATCAAAAAAATCCACACAAATCTACATAACTCTTTTGAAATGTTTGAATGAAGTGAGGAAATCATGTTCAGACCTGTAATAGTCCGTCAATATCACACATGGATTAAAGGCTGATGTCCCCCTGCAGACAGACTGAGAGCCTCGTCTCGCTCCTCCAGCAGTGAGGGAAAACTCTGGGAGAATGGGAGGAATCTGAGCTCAACCTGACACTAAATAGGGGGTTGTTCCCAACTTTACTCCCTTACGAACTTCCTCAAGAACGGAGCCCCCGCTTTTAAATCAGAGACAGAATCCGCTTCAGTGGGATGCAGATGCGCTGTGGCGTTTAACGTTTTCATACTCTTTCAAATTAGATCTATTATGCCTCAGATTGTGCTTTGAAAAGATGGGCAAAAATGACTAACTCGAAAAATTATTAGAATGAATGAAATATACTTATTTGTGAAAATACTTTCATTTTTTTCTGCTTCAAGATTTTACGTTTAATTTAATGTTCTATTTCCTGTTTCTTTGTGAAATGTACTAGCTATTTCTGAGGGGAAATTATTCCAACAAACTTTTTTTTTTCCAGTGCAGGTCAGGTTTTCTCACATATAACGACTAAAATGCATTATTTCTAACTAGTTCATTTTAACAATACTGAAACATATTTAAGAGTGAAAAAAGTGACACGTGGCCAAGTATGGTGGTGACCCATACTCGGAATTTGTGCTCTGCATTTAACCCATCCAAGTACACTCGCACAGCAGTGAACAGTGTTGGGGAAAGTTACTTTTAAAAGTAATGCATTACAATATTGCGTTACTCCATAAAAAAGTACCTAATTACGTTACTTCGTTACTTTTTATGGAAAGTATTGCGTTACGTTACTTTTGCGTTACTTTTTAAATCTGGACAGGGCTTGCTTGTTTGTTTTTAAAATAAAAAAGTT